TGAGGGCCCTTTTCCAGCTTGTTTTAGATGTCTCCCTCCTCCAACGCATCTGATTCAGTCAAAGGAAGAATACATCAACAACAGGCTGGATAAGGGCCTCTCCAGGACCGGACTTGGGCGCCCCTGACCTCAGGTCAAAAGAGTACGCACACGCACGCACACACACGCGCACATGCACACGCACACAGAAGAAACCCAATAGGCATTGGTACCTGTGGCAAACTGGTTGGTGGTGACCCCAAAGGCTTGAACCCGCAGCTTAAATGTGTTGAGAGAGAAGCTCGGCACCACAGCCAGAGTTTGCTCCGTATTACACATGTAGGAACGTCCCAGCGTGGTCCGAAGGTAGTCCAGACTGGTGTTCTCGGCTGAAAAGGGCGCTGTAAAAGAGACAACCCTGAGGCTCGCTTGAAATTGAATTCGGATCGACGTGAAACGTGTTGCTTCGATACCTGTCATATCAGACCAATTGGCGAGCACGTTTATCCCGCTGAGGTGGTATTTGTTGGCCGTGGAATTCTGTTGAGACAGTCTGGATTAGTCCACGCACAAACCGTGAGTAGTGGAGACAGCAGTGCTCGGTGTACGATTACCAGGGTAAAGATGAGGCTGAGTGTGGTAGTCCGGCCCTGAGCCAGAACCAAGGTAGCGCTGTTGTCTTCACAGGATCCGGAAGAATTTGTCAGATTAGGAGTGAGATTAAAATATTCTTGGACAGTCTGTAAAAAAATAAATACATAAATAAATAAACAAAGCGAAACAAATCCGATGCATCATTAATCGGAAATAGGTCGAACATTACAGAGTGGCTCTTGCACTACCTTATTCTGAGATTGGGAGACATAGGAGACATTGAGCTGTAGCCCCATTTGGGCCAAGAGGCAAACTGTGCCGTTGCTGTTGCTAATGGAGTAAATTCCCCGTTCAGGAGGTCCGGGTGTTGTGGGGGCTGGAGACGCTGTGGTTGGAGTACGGGCAGTGGTGGTGGGAGTGGTTGTGGTAGTGTGAGCCTGATCTGCTGCACATATTGTTTCTAAAGAAACAAAGCAAGGATCGTTTTGGGACTTGGCAGGCGCAGTGATGACATTGAACAGAATTGTGGACAGCAGAAATGTCATACCATCTGAACTCAGACCATTCCCTGGCATGTATGCTTCAAGTCTCATATCAGAGAAGGTGACTGTTTGGTCCCCAAGTATGACAGAGGTGGCGCTCACACAATGGTAGGTGGTATTGATTGCTGCCCAGATGCCGGGAGAAGCTGATGTGACAGTTACCACAGCTGAAGGTTTAAAAGAAAAAAAAAAAAAAAGGAAGACAGTAAATCAAAATTAGTTTTCAAACAAGCGGATCTTGTTTCCTGAAAAATGATTTCAATTCTACTCCAAATGAATGACATTTTTCAAAAAGAGCAGTGAGACAGGGCCAAATATCTGGTACCACGTTAGTCAATTGTAAAGTCTATGAGTAGATTATTACCCTCTAAAGTTAAGAATCATAAACTGTTTTCAACCTTTTTCTATGCTGACCTTTTATCGCCAAAATTTTCAGAACAATACCCATCATGAGATGGATGCACACAAAAAAATCACCACCTTGGTGGAGGTCAACAAGCTTCTGTGCACTCGTTGAGACTTTGTCGTTGTGCCAGTTCTCACCAGAGCTGTTGGCCTCGGCGAAGATGGAGGAGTCGCTGAGGTTGTACTGCAGCATCAGGGCAGCCATGCTGTAAAGACTTCCGTTGGTTGAGAAGCTCAGCCCCAGGGCATGTCCAGATCCAAACGTTGCCACTAGCGCCGGCGTGCCGGCAACTGAGCCACATGAGCTGCTTGCTAGGTCGACGGTGGTGGTGTTGGGCAGTGGAACCTGGACAGTTCTCTGAGGGAAGACAAGGGATTGATTGGGAATCATAATGGATATTCGGTGGAAGTTCAAATGTATCGCTTATAGCTGGAAAAATAGTATCCGCGGCTGTACGTACCGGGCTGCTGGAGGTGTTGTAGGTGATGGAGAACACTGCAGAGAGCTCAGCCTTGATGCATGTGGAGTTCCTCTCCCTCACTTCGAGAGTAACAGCCTGGAGGAAGCCTGCAATATACAAAGTATCATATATTAGTACCAGTACCTGCAAGTGGAGTCCATTTTCCATTTCAATCTGATTGGATTTTTCATCTGTTTCACAATGAGGTGTTTTTTTTTTTTAATGCCTGGAAAAGTGCAAAATATACAAATCTATTCAGAACTTGCTTGCCGACATCAAAACAAAAAAACACAATCAGGATTTGGGGTGTGAATCCAAGCTCTGCTAATAACCTTAAAAAAATCCTCCTCCTCCAAATAAAGCAATATGCAAAGGAGTGTCACGATTGAAACATTTCACATCGCATCAGCAAGTGACCACGACCCCTTTCGCTTCCTCCATTGAGTATATAGTGCTTTTTATTTCACTTATTTCTACGTTGAAGAGTTGTCAATCAATAAAATACATCTAGGAGTTCAGAGTAGAAAATTTTGTTCACAAATTACACCCCGACCACAACTTGCTGATTTACAATTAAAAAGAAGAGCTGATTATTGGCTGTGAGTTACCCACCATATAAACGCTGTTACAGTGGTACTGGAATTGACACAGCCGACTGGCCATATTCTTTAATTCTTATCATTATTTCTCCGTGACTATGGACTCAATATTCAGTTCTCTCCCAACCCCCATCACACCATCGTTTCAGTACTGCCTGCTGAAACTTGAACCTACTGCCACCTTCGTTCACCCTGTCAACACACGCAGTTTACACAACAGAGTAACAAAACACAAAAATGACACGACTTTGCTTTTTTTTGCTTTGATGTAGATTTTTATCTCAATGTTACTGTAATAAACAATGATATAGTCATTAACAAGAAAGCTAGAATTAGATTGGCTTGTATTTCTGCTCTTGGTCGGCAACTGGAACTGATATTAAACGCGATATAAAAATCAGAAGTAGCGCATCGTTGTCTACGCAACACAAAGCAGCACACAGAAGTCACATGAAGCTCTCAGATGACAAAGCTGCTGCTGCTGTTGCGCAAAATCGATACAACTTGCATGACAAATTACAACACAATACAATTAGTCCAGAGACTTCTCGTGTATTGTGATCGACTTTGACGGCATTTTGTTTCAAAACCGACAGGAGTTAAGACAAATAGGAACGCTCTTGCTATTCAGTTGAGGAAATTCTTTTTGAATCACAAATGACCAAATGTGGGTGAGGAACGATATATGTTGGTTAATAACTAACATATGCTAAGTTAGTACACTTTGTGACATATTGTGGCACCAATTAGGGTTGCTAACCTAAACTAGTAGCGAACATTAACATGTAGCATTCTCTGCTAGTCGATCACGCCACTGGTCATCCAAGCAGCTGTTCGTTTATTGAGCAAAAATACTCACCCATCACGGCAAACCACGTGAACAGCAACAGCGAGCCAGAAGCCATGGAGAGCTTCATCCTTTCCGTCGTGCCACGGCAGAGGCTACGAATATGCAGAACGAGGTTGAGCGTTTGTGTCACAGAGACGCGGAAAGGCTGTCGAGGCGGAGCGAGAGATGCTTGCTCGGCCGCCGCTCCTCACTCGCAGGTGGGACCTCCGCACGGAAATGTGCACGTCAGTTGGCCCACTGTCAAATTAAGCGACGCTGGATCCGATGGCGCCTTCTTCCTCTTCTTCTTCGCGGGTGGCGTAAGTGAGAATGATTTAACACCGCGCCGGTTTTAACAGCCTTCCCTCCGTACGTCAATGAGCGACCGCTCAATCTGCAACCGAAAGCTATGTCACGTCACGTGAGCTGGTAGCGTCTGCAGCTAGCATGTCACGTGAACGCGCCCCCGAGCGCTGTCCACGCGATACTTGAACCGTTTTTGGAAAGCAACTGTGAGAGCGACTCGTTAAAGTGAAGGGCAGCCAGTTTGTTCCAGGCTTCCGACATAACGAATTTGCTCAAATAAGCTTTACATATTATTAATAATTAATGATATTAATTTATCTGAAGACACTTACATTTTTGATGATCTGTCAATAATTTGTGAACAGATAAACACCAGAGGCAAAACATTATTTTCATGAATCTTTTGCCAGGATTCACATGTTCAAATGATCAATTCAACAACATTCCTTTAATAATCTCCCATCACTGGGAAACTATTTTTAGAACAGGCCGGTCCTTGGGCTACCTGGTGCCTGTTGGTACTGGATTGGTGACCCCTGGGTTAGACTAACATACAAATTATCATTACACTCTGCTCATAATTGCTAGCCATGAACATACTGTATATACTTTCAGTTCACATTAGGTCCTACAGGAACTTCATTTGAAGCACAGCTTGATATGGAGGTCTTTACATTTTCAATTTCTCAACATGCTTCTCAGAATTTACAAGTCAACAATGCATAAGTTTGTGAAATACAGTTTTACTTTTTCGTTAACCACAACCCATAAGTATTATTGCCTTGGGACAAGGTAAATGTAATACAAAAATTCCCATAATTAGCTGAAAAGAAACCAATACAAAGACATTAATTCAGAAAGTAAATAAAGAACTTTTGTCATCCCAGTATTGTCCTATTAGATTGCATTTTACTGTACTCACTATGTTGGGTTGTAGATAGCATGAGACAGTCTTCTCTTTCTCTCTCTCTCACACACACACACACACACACACAAGTGCAAAGTGCATGTATTGTGGTTAAGTCAGCTGACAGGCATCAATTCACGAGGGAGTGTAAAACCCCAGCAGGAACGCAGACTGCTTTAATGCTGCACTTCAACACTTTGCAGAATCTTGCAACATTCTCCTCACATATCGACAACATTTTGAACGGCAGATAAGGCACTTTTCAAACATTAAATTGCTCCATAGTAGATTTCGGTATGTTGCACAATTCACACTATACAGTATAGAGAAAAAAACAGCGTCAGTTGAATCCTCCAGAAAAATAACAGCACTTAGGTGTCAAATCACTCATTGAATATCCATTTATTTACTTTTGTCAATACATTGAAAACAATTTAATCTCAAAATGGAAAAAAAACATTGTCATCAGCCACAACCCTCGCTTCACATCAGTAACAATCAAACTCGGAGATAACTTCTTGGGGAAGAAATTAAACACTTAAAACATAAAACTTCTACAAAACAAAACCCACCCTGAAACGACTTCAGAGCAGAGCAATAGAGGGAAAACAAACAAAAAAATCCCCTCCCACAGCAATAAAACAAAGCAAAGTGAAAGGAAAGTGCTTGTCTTAGTTTTCTTTTTTTTTTTTAAACCAAACAAAACAATCTGGATCACTTCTCCAGCCTCCTCTCGGACTTAACTCCCATGGCAGAGCCCAGAGCCATCGCGTGCAGGACAGAACCCAGCCAAGTCTCAACTCTTAGGATAAATTTGTGACCTGGATGCTGCACCCAATGCCGTGGTACCAAGAATAAACTCGGCGGCTGAAGGACTGCGGGGCTGCTTTGGGGAGCAGCCCAACACTTCACAAAAACATGGCTGCTCAGTGCTGCCCCCTCAGGCAACATAGTGGTACTGGTTTGGCGTCTCCTTTTCGCGTTCCATGTAGTCTCTGTCGATGAGGGACTCAATACGCTTTTTCAAGTCGCCGGGCTGCGGGGAGAAGAGTGAGTCAGAGGCGAATGAGCTTTGTGACTGTGTGTAGAGAGAAGTTTTAGACTCGTAGTCGTCACCTTGACGGGGAACTTCAACTGGTTGTAGAGCTCTGACACAAGTAAATTGTGACTGAGTGTCTTCCTCATCTTCATGATGCGCACCACAGCTGCATCGATTTGATACTGCCGGTCTTGAAACACCCGCTCTGTGGTGCTGACCTGCTCCTCTACCTACAAGGAAAATGCCATTTCATCGCAAAGCGAGCGCTGACTTTGGGAATGGGCCCGACACGAAATGTGTTCTTACAGTTTCTTTCATTTGGATCTGGTTGATCTTGATGCGGAAGAGTTTGTGTTTGAACTCATTATTGAAATCGAAGCGGTCTCCGTCCTCCACATCTTTTCCCCGCGGAATCTTGTTGAGGACGCGGGCTTTTCCACAGGCCAGGGACTGCAACGTACGCCTGAGCTCGCCCTCCTCTGTGCGGGAAGAGAAAAGCTAAGGTGTCCCTCGGGCGTGTCTACTGACTCGCCTGCTAAATGATTGAGGCAATAAGCAAACCCCACTAACCTATACCCGTGGCAGCGCCAATCTCTTCCATGCTGAATTCCTCTCCCTCATTGAACATAAGCAGCACTAACGTCTGGAACAGGGAGACCTGAAGCTCCTTCTTTCCCTGCAGGGCGATCGATGAATAAAGTTCTCAAGAAAGCTGAGTTTCGGAGCTGTGATCGCGAATGAACTTACGTCTTTGAACTCTGCCTTAAGGACAGCGTGGCCCAGCGTGGGCTGCCACTGTAGCTTCCTCCCACTGTGCTTCCCCAAGTAGAACAGCTTAAACACTTCCTGGAGTTTTACCATCTCAAAAAAAAAAAGAAAAAAAAAAAAAGAAAGAAAACCGTACTGTCAAGGTCAGATGAGATAAACACACAAGGTACAATAACAGGAAGACCACTGATCACTCGGCGTGACTTTGCGCCTGCCTGCAAAATCTAGCGTAGCTGTAAAACCCAATACTGCTCCATTCAGAGCTGTTTCAATAATTCTGCCTGCTACATCTTAATTGCAATATTAGGTATTATTAATTCAACAAAAATACCTGTTATTTTGGCAGCAGGGAGGGGGCGATAGTGATGAGCTTTAAGTGTCAATTATACACAAGTCGATTCTATTTGCTTATTTTGTAACTTATGAAGGCACGTGATTGCCGTGGAATGTATCAGAATGCAAAATTCAAATGCACACCACATTCTTCATTTTCATATTAGATTAATCTCTTAAAAAACACATCATTTTCGTTCCACTTCATAAGTGATGTGCTGTCTGTGATCTGTGCTTGTTTATCACATCAAATTTTTAACAAAATACACTGACGTTGGTGATTGGAAGGTCACAATATGGGAAACATTTCCAGGACTATGAACATATTTTAAGGCACGGTATGTAAACAATGAGGAATATAAATACGATGATTTCAGTGTACTTACCTCTGGGGGCAAGTGGACTTCCATGGGCGAGTATGAAGGCCAGTAGCCCATGGTCAGGATGTTGACTGTTAGTTCAATGTTGCTCGGCTCACTCTGGTTTTGCATGTACTGAGAGGAAACGCCACCATTTCAGGCATGAAATGACCGCGGACATTCTTGCGTTACGTTTTCAAAGTGGCCTGATGCGGACAGAGAACGTGAGAGTACCTGTTTGAACTGAATCATGATGTCTTTGGAGAGTTCCATGTCCTTAAACATCCCTTCGAGCTTGCTGGTAAATGCCGCTCCGCATTCTGTGCGAAGTCAACGGCACAAATGTAACAGCCAAAACATGTCTACGCTTTTCTATGCTACACAAGAGAGTTTTAAGGAGCTTTGCCATGACACAAAATTCCCAATGGAGTATCGTGCCCAAAGCGGGATGCAACAGAGTAAGTTACAAATGTATACTAAGGATATATCGGCCGACTTACCATGTTTCAGCTTGGAGAGCATGGACTTTTCGGCATCGACAGAAGCACTCTTGCCAACCAGTAGACGCTTGGCCAAGTCTTTCTTGTAAAACGCTTCAAAAACATCTTTGCCTAGACAAGCAAGCGCGACAACAAGGGTGTTCAGTGCATCTAAAGAGTAGAAGCGTTTACTGACGAGAAAACCATATTTCCATCTGACACATCATGTTTCTATATGCGTTCAAACCACCTTGGGTGCCCTGCACACCAGTCGTCACTTCGGCAGCCAGGAGGTGTTTTGCCACATTCGCCGTGCAATGCATGAAAACTCTCATCCGACCTTCAGTGCCCAAAGTGAAAAACAAACACTTCAAATTCGCAACTCACCGTGTATGAAGCGGAAAATGATCATGATCTTGTCAAGAATTCTCTCGAGCTCTTCCTCTGTAGCCTCCTTGTTACCGGCTCGCAACTTAGAATCCACGTATTTAGCTGGAATGAAAGCAAAGGGTTAATAAAAGGTGAAGTTAAAAAAAACAACAAAAAAAAAACTTAACACTCAAATATGCAACCTATAACCCCCACCCAAAAATTTTGAATAAGGAGGCCATTTTTTTTCTGTAAAATAGAGTGGATCCATATCACATGGATTCTTAAAGCCGACATACCGATGAGTTCTGCGGGTTTGTTGGGCCTCTTGTTGATAAATGTCTCAAAGGCCTCCTTCATGGCATTGATGAATCCCTCGTTGCGCGCAAAGCAGCTCTGAGCCACATTGTCCATCTTGTCCTTAAAGTCAAGCAGCTCTTGTACCATGTCCTGGTCTTTCTCTGGGGTACAGACAATCTCTCCACCGAAGGACTATGGACATCAAGTACATACTAGAAGGTCAGCGGCACTGTGTGTGTGTGTGTGTGTGGGGGGGGGGGGGTTGACTGCAGATGGAAGTGACGCGCACACCTTGATGTAGTCCCTCCAAAACTGCAATAATGTGGCCAGTCCTCCCACCACCTTACTGAACAGTTGGTAAAGGAGGGCCAGCTCGGTCACACGATTCCCGTCCAAAAGAATGCTCAAACCTGTGAAAATGTCACACAAGTTGTCATTAAAAGTAGACATTTCTGTGCAATTTTAGAAAAACAAACAAACAAAACAAAACCATTTTCCCAACAGATCCCTTAACAGTGAAGGCGAATCAGTATATGCGGTCATTTAGGAGGAAAGTGAAACAATTTTGAAAATATGCACAGAGGTAAGTGTAATGTTCTGGGCCAACGTACCCTTCTGCAGAATTGCAGTCATGTGCTCTTCTAAAAGTTGTTTCTCAACGCAGCTAATCAGAGGTTTCCTACACGATAGTGGAGACAACATAAGGAAATGGAACAAAACACGTACACAAAAAAAAAAATTACAGTTGAAACCGTACGTTTACATACACCACCTGAAGACACACTCGGCTTTTTTCCTCAGTGTCTGACATGAAATGAGACGATACGTTTCCTTTTGTCGGTCAGTTACGATGACCAAAATAATTTCTCTTTCCTAAACGTCATAATAATGTCACATGACCTCGGTGTGGTCTGACGAAACCCAAATTATTTGACCAGAATGACCGTTGTTACGTTGAATGCAAGTCTTACTGGGTGCTCAGGTCGAGGTAGCTCATGATACGATCGTTCTCCTCCTCCAGTCGACGAGCCACATGGTGCAGGTACTCGGGCACCTGGTTGCGTGGAAAACGCACAAGATAAGGCGCGCCTGCATTCATTCGCGCTAACATTCCAGATTCACGAGTGCTCCGTGTCACTCACATCTCTGTCTTGCATCAACCGCTGTCCCTCTGCGGCGTACAAGCGATTTGTTTCAAACAAAAATCTCTCTTCAAAAGACACTTTATAAACCTGCAAAGACATGGGACAAAAGTAAAACGGCATGCTTATCGCTACGGCGGGCAGTCAATGGTCTACCTGGAGGTCTGAAAGCATTCCCAGCAGGCTTCTCAACAAACTGCGGTCAGCTGTCTCGCCATTCCGCTCAAGTTCGATCTGCTCCAAAATGCCGTCTACCGTACGCTTCTGGACAACGCTATCACTTACAATGTGGACACGGAACAGTTCTAGCCCAGTATCCCTGAATGGCACAAAAAAAAAAACAATAATAAGAATTATCCTCATTCACCTTGACAAAGTAATTGCAAGGGTGACAATTACCAGATGGATGGGAGCAAGGAGCTTTGCAGGACATATGTGCGATCCAGGAAGAGAAAGATGCTTCGTATCATTATCTATATGAAAGATCAAGGAAGAACATTCGTATCAACGCAGTATCGACGCTCAAACGTTCCCATGAAGTAACGAGCTGATCACACACATACAGTTTGCCGGCAGTGATCCAGCCAGCAGCGATTCATCCTCTTCAGGAAAGACAGGTTGTCCAAAGATTCTGTGAGCTCAATATTGAGGAAATGTGACCTCAAGTCATCTTTCAAACCTTTTTTTTTTTTCTGGACTTTGTGTGGTTGTAATCACAGCATTGTAGAACTGCACAGCTTCGCATTGAGGCGTGCCTCGCTTATGTCAATAAATTACCAAAACTAGCATCTAATGCAGTGCAGTCCAGTATTACAAATGACAAAAATTAATATATTATTTGTCTCTGTGAGACTTTCAAAAGAGTCCAACTCTTTCTTCCAGGGGAGTAATTTATGAATACAAAATGCCTTAGCAACAAATCCGGATCTTTAGTACAGTGACTCCCCGGTGTTGAAAAAAACAACACTGTCAACATTTCAGCGGTCTGAGCATGCCGAATAAAAGGATATTCTCTAAACTGGTAGATCTGGGCCTGCACGTGATCTTCACAGACCTGCCGTAGCTGCTTGTACAACGTGGGGGAGACTTTATAGGAACACATGTTCTCCACAGCCTTCGGCAAGAAAGAACAAGCCACGGGTGAATGAAAAAATATATATAAACATCAGTCAATCAACTATGGTAGATAATGTACATTGAAAATTTCGGATGAATCAAAATACTATATAGATAATGTACATTGAAAATTTCGGATGAATCAAAACAGATTGAAACGGAACAGCTTCTCTCTATACAAGTCACCTGACAAAGACTAATTGGCAATGAAATGACAGCAAACCTGATAGAGCTCTTCTAGGTTGTACTCGATAGATGTGCTGTTCTGGATGGCACTGACTGCATCTCTCAGTTTCAACCAAGTGTCCTCAGTGTAATTCTCGGCTAATTTGGGCCGATCTGTCATGAGAAAAACACAGCCAAAATGTTGTAGTGCTTCATTATAAGAGTACAGCATTGATTATAGGTTTGACTGGTCGTTAAAATAGACTGGTTTATAAACACTGCCCACTTCGGCTAAATATTTGCAGTTTAATTCAAACGTCACCGATTAAGTAATAGACGTGGTGTGATATTTTTTGCCAAATTCATAGACTATAATCTGTTTACAGGCAAGGGCACCCAATACTAGCACTCCAACTGTTGCCTCATAAAGTTCTAATAGTGTAAGGATGACACTCAACCCAGGTGAAGGGGCTACAAAACCATCAAAACGTTGCCAGCGGTGTCCAGCAAGAAACTGCATGCAGATAAGTTACATGATAACAACGTTAGCGTGATCAACAGTTACACATTAGAGGCATTTAGAGAATTGCCCGACTCACCACATGTGCAACTAATTTACACCTGTTATCAAATTATATCTTGATTTTTAATTGCGAGGGACAGGTCATTCATCCTGTCTGTCAATATAAAACGGGATCACTGTGGCTAACATGGTGTTGCGAACAATACCTTTAAAATTTTTTATCACTAATTTCTTGGAAGAGCCAGATTTTCCGGAAGACATGGAAGATGTCCTGGTCATCCCGTTGGTGTCCGTTAAAGCCGAGAAGTTGGCCCTCTTGTCCTGTCTGGTGTCTTCGGCCATGATCAGATTAGCTTTAAAAGCTTAACGCTTGCTCCTTCCAAGTGTTTTCGCCAAGTTTTTCCTTTGATTGCCCAGCCGCCTAGTGACCATATAAAGCGTAATTCTTGAACCAAGTACCTTTGATCGTGAGAAAATGCGCCGCGGGCTTTATACAGCACATCTGCGAAAAAACCCTGAGTAATGTTTGGTTACTCAACCAAATAAAACAATCAAGAGCAGCCGGCTAGGCGACAGTGTGCTTCTGTAAACTGAGCATACTTAACGTCGTCGCCGCAAAGCATTAGCATCATTGCTAATCCACAAATCGTATGACGATTTACGCGGACGAGTTGGTTCGATTTTAACATCTTGAGATAGCAAAATACACCAAAGAGGTGAAATAGTGAGGGTGTGTGTCACAAGTCCATGATATTCATTTTAACACGTTGTTTTCATTTAAATTTTGCCCAAACGGCTAGCTTACGCAACAAAATGGCTTTTCGGTTCATTCGGACAGGTGCATCTTGGGTGAATAGTAAACGAGTTGCGTTCAGGGACACTTTGAAATGGTGTGGACTTCAGACAAGACACAGACAGATCATTTCATGTTGAAAACAGAAGAGAAACATCAGATCATTTTAACGTATTTAAAATAATTAAAAAAAATCTTCCTGATATCAGAAATATTTTTTTTCTGCTGAGATTTTGGGGAAGCAAGCGTTCAACTGCTTCATTTAGAATGACGTATTCGTGTTGCTGAATGGTCATGAACGCAATCCTGAATAGTCAGATCAGAGTGAGAGTCAGATGCTCTGGGCGGTGTTTAATTCTGGATCGACGAGATCGAGCGTCACCATTCATGCCACTTCCTGCGGTTTTGTGTCACCTGTCAAAATGGACATCTTGATATTTGTCCGTGTGCATATTTCGTGGTTATTTGCGGAGGAGTAGTGCTATTGCTCTCCTCTGTTTCCAGTCTGTCTCAGCGAGGGTGTCTTGAGCGGTAAGTTATGCCAAGCAAGCATGTGGGAAACTGGGCAGGGGGTTGGTACACGCAGATCGTCTTCAGGGAAGAAAGGCTGGTTGGAAAGATTTGCATAGTTTCAATAAGTGTCACCCTGTGTGTGTGCGCGTGCGTGCGTGTATATTTGTTTGATCATATGATGAATAACCCCCATGAAAAGTCCCATATCGATTGCTAGCATTGGCAGCAGAGAGCAGTCAGTGAAGGCTAACGTTAGCTTCCTATTGAATGAATTAAACACGAGGCAAGATTTCCTCAATAGTTTGTGGATGCACTACGTTCTTCAACCTAATTGGGTCACATTTAAGCAGCGTTAACAACAAGTATACCCCGTGATTGACCTTAGCGTCCATGAATTTGACAGGCTAGCTAGCACTAACATTCTGAGCGTTAGCACTTGAAAAGGGCGTCGCTATTGTTTTGATATGTGCTGTCGCCTGCTTAACAGGACCAGAAACATTTTCAAAAGTGACACATGAAATAGTATCAAAAAGAAAATGGGAACGAATTTCGTACTGTCAGGATACATCAGGTTTGTGACAGTTATTCATACAGAATATACATTACAAGGATATCATGCAGTAAATCACCTGCATGTACTTGTATTCAAGTGCTAAATACTGTGGATGGCAGAGCATATCAACTACACATATTTCATTTCTGCCTTACTCCTGATTCTGTTTGCCTGTCTATGTGTTGCAGATTGGCTGGGCATTAAAACAAGCAATGGTGTTGTGGTCCTCTAAACGTGTACTGTACTCTAATCTTAACTTTCAAACGTTTATGTGAGGATTAATATGGCTGTAAAGTGATTTTTAAAATGTCCACTTCAAGACCCATCTATTTATGTTTTTGAAAATTGAACTTTTTCATTTTAGTCGATTGTTTGGGACATGCCAAAGAAATAGTCTGGCTTTGTCCTTTTACAATTCTCATGGAATCTGGGCCTTTCAAATGTGCTAAAAATATAATTTGGCAGTGATATCACTGTACTAATAGTGGTCTTTTTCCATACTGACCATTCTTTCACAGATAAGATGACTCCTCCCACTTTTTTGTTTCCTCTAGTCTCAATGCCTCGACCAATATGAGCGTGAAGGCCTTCGAGCTCATCCCGGCTGTGGAGCGGGACCTCCTCATGGGCGACAAGGCTCGCATCAACATTGAATGTATAGAATGTTGTGGGAAACACTTGTATGTGGGAACCAACGATTGCTTCATCCACCACTTCCTGCTCGACGAGCTCACTTCCGCCAAAGGGAGACTGACTTATGCGGCTCAGAAACTACTGCACAAATACATGGGCCTTAAGAAGCCAGTGGCAGAGCTGCGGGCTGCCTCTGCTTTGGAGCGTCTCATAGTCCTTTGCGATGGAATAGTTTTTCTTGTGGACATGGTGACGCTGGAAAATGTGCCGTCAACGTCAGGAGGCGGTGCCAGGGTTAGAGGTGTGACGACATTCTGCATTAATGAGAATCCGGTGAACGGTGATCCATTCTGCGTGGAAATGGGTGTCCTTTCCTTGAAGCGTAGGACAGTGCAAATTTACATGGTTTATGAGGACAGGGTACAGCTGGTCAAAGAGGTGAGCACGCCGGAGCAACCCTGTGCTGTCAGTCTCGATGGTTACTTCCTGTGCCTGGCGTTGGCGACGCAGTACATGATCCTAAACTACAACACAGAAGCTGCACAAGATCTTTTCCCTTACAACAGTGAGGAGCGGAGGCCCATTGTAAAAAGGATTGCTCGGGAGGAGTTCCTCTTGGCGGCACCGGGTGGTCTTGGTAAGTTGAGTCATGATGAGTTTCAATTTCATTTCAAAATTACCTCCAATTTAAAGATGCTCAAGCTTTGGCTTTTAATTATTCACTTTATTCATGGCATTTACAACTTGCCTATGAAGCACCTTTTTCAACGTGTTTTTTTAAAGACTTCACACACACAACTGATTTAATCAGAGCTGTCACTATATTCTGTCAATGTTTTTTGGCTTGCTAGCATCTCAATGGCTATTATAACATTCTGTTATTCAATAATTAGTGATTGGAAAATGTAGCTTCAAAGATGCTTCATGAACAAGTTGTCAAATTTTTTTGAGCCCTTGATGGCACTGTTGTTTTAGAGAAAGGAGTTTAATTAATCAGTCTGCTCTCAGCCCTAAGTTGTACACGGAGTGCCATCTAGATGAGTTAAAAATACAAGAACTGGTTTATGAAGCATCTTTGAAGCTTCATTTTTCCATAATGTAATCAATGTGTTTGAAAAATCAGGACCTCCAGCCCTGTCATGGCAATAATACACAAAACAAAGTGGGTACGACCAAGTACCAGACACAGCATGCTTTTTCATTGCACCTCTGTCTGCCGGTTGGTCATTATACCCACGCAAGCAGACGACTTCAAACGGAGAAGCTTTTCTTGAGCTGCACATTTATCCGTAGCGCCTCCAACAATTTAACAGGTTTCCCCTTGGCTCTTGCATCACCCCTTTACAGAGGTTTTTTTTTTTTTTTTTTTGGGGGCAATCAATTCTGTCACCTTTCCATAACCGTCTAACTAACCAAGCTGTCATCAATGAAACATGACCTCATGTCAATCACGCTCAAATGAGGTAGTAAGGCCTGTCATGTCTCTTGAACATCTCCACCTGGCCCTTCCCGATAGGCATGTTTGCTAACGCGGAAGGGGCTTCTCAACGGGCCCCCGTCAACTGGTCCGAGAGTGTCATTGGTGCGGCTGTGTGCTTCCCATATGTGGTGGCCTTGGATGAGAGCTTCATCACCATCCACAGCATGTTGGATCAGCAGCTGAAGCAGACACTTTCATTCAGGGATGGCCGCATTTTGCAAGACTTTGAAGGTACTCGGGCATGAATATTCCTGCTGTTCTTTTTCTTCATCTTCATATGGTGTCTGAACAGGATGATGGGTAGCGTGTAGAGCAGTGGAGTTCTGATGCTGTTTTATTTATTTGTTTTTTGTCCTTAGGAAAGGTCATTGTGGCGTCCACTAAAGCTGTGTACGTTATGGTGCCCTTGCCGCTGGAGAGACAAATCCAGGACTTACTGGCCAGCCACAGAGTGGAGGAGGCACTTGTCCTAACAGAGGGGGCACAAAGAAGTATTCCCAAAGAAAAGTTCATGGTAATAAACAGTCCCTTTATTATGTGTTCTGTTATAATTGTGCCACATCATTTTGTCCGAAATATCTTCCATATAAAAAGGATCAATGATTAATTTCTACTATCATCTGCATGTGTCCGACATGTATTTCAACCGATGACATCATGTCAACAGTATGAATTTTCATCTCAATTTCTACACGGTGACACAGGTTTTGTACAAAAGAATCCTGCAGCAGGCAGGCTTCATACAGTTTGGCCAACTTCAGTTTGTAGAAGCAAAAGAACATTTCAGGTAAATGTTTTTATGCGGCGTTAGGTTGTCAGGGGCAGTCGGTTGGCGTCCACCACATTGCGTTCTTTGGCTTTGCCTTTGCAGGAAAGGTCAGCTGGATGTGCGTGAGCTGATTTCTCTCTACCCGCTGCTCCTGCCAGCTTCTTCTTCCTTCACACGCTGCCACCCTCCTCTCCATGAGTTTGCAGATCTCAACCACCTGGCACAGGGTGATCAGGAAAAAGTCTTGAAATGCAAGAGATTCCTAATCACTTATTTGACAGAGGTAACAGAGAAATTTTTTTTCTTTTTTTTTATATACATACATGATTGCTTTTATTTAATTTTCTCGTCAGAGGCTTAATGCTTTTGTTATTTTCCATCCACGTGCCTCATAGTTTATTATCCGTGCCTATGCTGCTCACTTTGCAGGTCCGAAGCACAGAAGTCGTTAACGGTTGCAGAGAGGATGTGGACACGGCATTGTTAAAGTTGTACGCTGAACAGAATCACGAGAGCCTTCTCGACCTGCTAGCATCAGACAACGCCTGCATGCTCGCAGACTGTGTTCCCTGGCTGGAGAAATATCAAAAGTGTGTATGCTTTTTCTGTGTTTTGATTTCCATCCCTTTCCACGCTGCTTTGGAGCAGATGGTGTCGAGTGATCGATGAAATGGATCATCCCAAACATTTTCCCATAAAACTGAAACTTGACTGCACTTTAGACCTCGTGTTTAATATTTAATTTATGGTGCACCTGACTTCCCTGCAAGGAGTCCCCTGGAGAAATTGAAGAGCAAAGTTTGAATCTTTGAATGCAGCCACAATCGCAACAATGAACACCGAGTTTGAGTGCAGAGTTAATTCATGTCTTGATAAGGGGAAAGGCGTCAAACAGTATTTCTATCACATATGCAGCTGCCGATTACCACCCTTGTATTGGTTCTCGCAGTACTTTGTATAAAAAAAGTATCCCAGAAAAGATCTTGTTTCATCAAGCATCGTTTTCCTTCCTCCGTTTCCCAGATATTTTGCACTTGGGCTGCTTTACCATTGTAATGGTCAGGATCCGGCAGCACTTCAGGTAAACTCACATGTGTGAAACTACACCAATGCAATAGGACGGAATTCTTTACGTACTTTTTTTTCACCCCCCCCCCCCCCCCCCCCCCCCATGTGGATTCGGGTTGCAGACAGGGAACTGCAGGACTCTACAAGACCTGATCTCTTTGAGTATATTGTAGATTTTCTCAGCTCCACTGCCGATGTGGACCTTGTGTGGAAGTTTGCAACCTGGGCCCTACACAAGAATCCCACTGTAGGTCAACCTCTATTAGTTGCTTGCAGATGTTACTTTCAGTTCATTGTGAAATGACGACAAGTCATAGTCAAAGAAAACTATTGTTTCTCCAACGTAGCTCAATAAGGTAACCAAAACTTAAAAAAAAAACTCATCATATGACACAAGCGGAATAATAAACGTATTGTGGAATAAATACCTCTCCATTACTGCTGTTGTGGCCACAGCACTTTCATTTGCTAGCGTGTATCATGCAATTTAGGTGCAATGGTAACCCGTGGCTTTCACTTTTCTTCATAGACAGCTGTCCACATCTTCACTAAGAGGTCTGTTGGCAAAGCCCAGTCAGACATGAATCCCGAGGATGTCATTACATACCTGGAAAGGCACAGGGAGGCTCTTCTTCTCTACTTGGAACACCTGGTGCATGAACGACGGATTCAGGTACCGCTCACAGAATCTTCATGTGAACAGGATGGCCATAGAAAGAGTGATAGGAGCTTATACTATACAAATCGAGCATATTATTAAATGCTGGTTTGTTTTATGTTGTATCAAAGGTTAAAAACAAAAATGGTTGTATTGTACTGGACTTAAAGGACGGATGGCCTCAAGATGATCCACATTTCCCTAAACTCACTTGCATGACTGTCCATGTCTTGTGTGTTGTTTTATATGACCGTATTTTGTTTTTTTATCTTAACTGTTCTGTAAAGCGCTTTGTTACAGCTGCGGCTGTTGTGATAGCACTATATCAATAAAGATGTATTGTAAAATTCAGAATCGTTGAAATGATTGCTGCAAATTACACTCCTCCTGCTTAGTCCAGCCCATTTAGTTAACTTTCATGAGAAAATAACGTTGACAAAACAGGAAAACAATTGCAATAGGTTAGCATCATTCTGGAGCTGACATCATCAGGCTCACACTGATTTTGTTTTTTGTTTTTTCCGACAGACATCATTTTAAATGCACAACTCTATGTGCCGGTGTTCTGACTATTTGAGAGGACCTTTAATATCGATAAATTTGCAGTTGTGATTCTTTTCTTGACTGTAGGAGGAGCAATTCCACACGCATTTGGCAGTCCTGTACTTGGAGAGGGTCTTCTCTTTACTGTCAGAGTCTCCGACCAATGAAGAGCAGCTCAGCAGATCCAGAGAGAAGCTCCAAGGTCTACTCAGGGAGTCCAATTTGTACCGAGTTCAGTTTCTTTTAGGTGAGCTCGTCATTGGGAAATGCATTCTGATGATCGAGAGCTGTTTGATATTTGATGGGGCAACATGTTTCTCATCACTGTCATACTAAAATGTGACCATTACAAAATTATTTGCGACAAAAGTTTCCTCCAGATTCTTTCTGTTCAAGAACTACTGATGTGACTGCATGTTTGTTTATTTCATCAATTTTTTTTTTTTTTTTTTTGCGTCTACATTATTTAGGTAAGATGGAAAACTGCGAGCAACTGCTGCTGGAGCGTGCAACTCTGTATGGAAAATTGGAGGACCATGATAAAGCGCTGCATATTTTAGTGCACAAGCTGAGAGACTTCCAATCTGCTGAAGCCTTTTGTATTTGGACCTCGTCTTGTCGGGATTCTGCTTACAAACAGCAGCTGTTCCACCTCCTCCTGGGGATGTATCTTGACAAAAGCGCCACCGGGAAATCCCAGTCAGCAGTGTGCGACGACAGCGGCAATCTAGAAATGGCAGCGGTTGACCTCCTGAATCGTCACGGAGAGTTGTTTGATCCTGTCCGGGTGCTGAGGACACTGCCGGAAGGCTGGTCGCTGCAGCTACTCCGGCCTTTTCTGGGTCGAGCCATCAGGGCTAGTATGCATGCCTCCCGCACGTCCCAGATTGCTCTCGGGCTTGCCCACTCGGAACATCTTCAACTACTGCACGATAAGGTGAACGCCTCATTACGCACAGAGTACATGCATACAAACATGCATATAGCGGATGTAAAATGCCTGTTCAAATGTCAGGTTTTTGTGGAATTAACTCTACGAGAGAGGGGAGGTTAACCAACTGAGATTATTTGGTTGCACCAGTGTGCGCACCACGTCGGCCTCACAGTGTCGAAGTGTAGGCTCCGGCCTTCCTGTGTGGAGTTTGCATGATCTCCCCGTGCCTGCGTGGGTTTTTTTCTTTTCACATTAATGGTGACAAAAGTTTTGTCGTTTTTGTATGTTGGCATATTTGATTGATATTCATAGTTCATACCACAATTCAGTCAAAGATCCCTTGTATTGGAAATAGTTTTCATTGCTGGACCACATCTCTTACACACTTTTTTTTTCTGATCCAGTTGAAAGAGACAAAGAAGCCAATTGCTGTGTCGACAAAGAAGGGATGCCACTTATGCCACAACACCTTCAGTGACCCCGAAGTGGTGTGTCTGCCGGGCGGCGTGCCTGTCCATACACACTGTGCCGCCCAAAGAATGAGAGACTCCCCAACAAAGAGACAATTACCTAACAGCAGCAACCACACGTGAGCCATGGCCCACTGCACAACAGTGTAATCTACGATTAGAAGCGCCCAAACGACGCAAGTTGTGCTGGCTTTTGGCAAGGCTGATGACTTTGTGGACGAGGGCAAAGCATCCGTTGCTGTGGTTAAATCGCTCATGGAGTCTGCAAGAATCACAAAGGCAGCGATGTGTTTGGGAGCAGAAGAAAGTGCAACTGTGAGCGGAAGCAGATGGTGTTGAGCGTGTGATGCAGTCGATTCCGATTTTTTTTTTTTTTTTTTAAATAAACAAGGTCAAAGCTAAATGACCTGTCCCTTAATCATTTAATCAAGAACAAGACAACTCCTACACTATCTTGAGCTATTGGGTTGTTTTTGCTTATTAATCTATCAAGCACCACGCAGACTATTTGAAGCCTCTCAAATGAAAAAGCTATTTTTACCGTTTGCCTTCTGCCTTAAATTCTGGTTGTTGGAATTAACAGCATACATGTGTTGTAATTTACTCTTTCATCTGGTGACTTTGATGACTTTCCTTGTTGATGATGAGGTTTACTGCTCACCTCGAAATGCATGATGCGTAAATGACAAAAGAGCTTGAACTAGCTCAACAATTGGCAAAACTGGTTACAATTCGAAGCACATAGTTGCAATTCCTTTTGGATTTCTTCAAATTGATTGATTTCCCCTTTGATGCTGCTCAATAATCAATGCTGCAATTTCCATTCTTACCCACAGAGTGAGCATTAAGGTATAAAAAAATAGCATCACTAGGCCAAATGTAACTGACTCCCATCATCAGTTATTCATTTTCTACTCTGCAGCACCACACGTTTAAAAAGGGAAGGTGACATTGCTTTATTGTTTTACTGAGAGCAAATACCTGAAATTCCGGCCATATGTGAAAAAAAAAAAAGTCAGGTAATGACAAGTGACAGACTTTTCGTAATGTGTGATGAGTGTATCTGTCTTTTACTGCGCCGGTTCAGCATTGGACTGACTTTGTGGGAAAATAAAACCACCACTTTGATCGTGAAAGAATGGCATATTTGTTGAAGCGGTGCAAACTGTTTTTACTCACGGTTCCAAATTCCAATGAATGAAACACTTTTGTATTTGAATTGTTGCACTGTTCGTTATTAAAATTGATTGCACTGTAAACCTCAATATACAAACCCCTAAGAACTTCCTCCACTGCTCCTTTGAGAAATTGTTTACGGTCTGGCATTCGTGTTTTAATTCCTGTAAGATCAGTAGACTTATGTTTTCACAACCAAAACAATCTTCAGTGTTTAAAACCGACCATCCTGCAAAACACAAAATTTAATAAATTCAATACGAAACATTCAACCTTGTTGGTCTGGATTCCATGAACTGCACTTATGTTCCACAGATGCACTTGGAGTGTCTTTGTTTAACGCAATGCTCTGTCTTCAGGGAGTATTTTTGGATTTCTGATTTCTTCATCAGCACTGTAGTAGTCAATTGATTCGTGTACATTTGTACACACCGTGGATGTCATTTTCACCGAGCTTGCCTCAAGTTGAGAACATTTCCAGGCTGTTCTACAGGAGGACACACTAATGTATACCTCAGAATAGCAAACTTACAGATAGAAACCTTTGTCTTACTATGACAATACAACTTTAAAATGAGCAGACCCACTTACACGTTCACCCATCCATCCATTTTCGACAGTATAGTGCGCTTGCGCTCTATACTGTCGCTGGTTAGTAGGCGAGAGCTCACCAGCCAATCACAGCACATTGAGCAAACATCACACTCACTTCCATATTCGTGGACGATTTGGAAGGAAATTGGAAAAGTAGAAATTGGCCGTAATAAAACGAACATGCATATTCTGGGGAATGTGAGAGAAAGATGGTGAACCAAGGGCAAATGTCTGTACTTTATATAGCAATACCATACTTTTACCAGTGTGGGTTTTGTTTGTTTGTTTTGATTTTTAACGTTATCCCCATTGTTAAAATGAAACTCGAGTAGCATAGAAAACTCAGTGAATTAGCGCCCCCGGTTGACCTTTCACTGTAAGCGCAGGCAGGTCAGGCAGCCGATCGGCTTCTCGACGCCAGCAACGCAAACGCCATCTTAAACTGACTGACTAACTACTGAATCAGCCCTGTCGGACGAATCTGGGTCACGCGTTCGGAGACGAAACGGCGTCTGGAAATCTCCACTCTTCGCATCCTCGCTGATATTTACCAATCTCTCGATCAATCGCGACGCTTTATGGTCCAATGTGTTTGAGCGGTCGGGCAGCCCGAACGCAGTTTTGTTGTGTCGGACCTGGTTGACGCTCACTGGTAGCTTTTTATAACAAGCAGCTGACTGAGGCGAAATCAGGTAAGCGGAAGACTTTTGGGACTCTTGTTAGTATCTGTGTTTAACTCGACGATTGCACGTTGGCAGCTCTACATTTTCTCGAACGTGCTAAGTATGGCTTGGCTAAGCTACATGACATGCAAGTGAGCGAGCTAACTGTTGTGTGTGTGTGTGTGTGTGTGTGTGTGTGTGTAAGCAAATTACTAATGCGGTCAGTTTTAGCCAATGCTAGATATAACCCGAGAGTCAGAGCTAACTGCATTTTTTTTGTTATCTTGGCTGGGAAACCAGTTTTGGCGAGTCGAAGATAACGTAGTGTTTATGAATTGCTCACGAGACGCTCGTGTTTGTTGTGGCAAAAGGGAGGCGTGTCCACCCTCTTGAATGTGATCGCTGATCATTATCAGATGAGCCGAGTCGTTGCAATGCTGACTTTGAATATATGTCAACCTACCATACATCATTATCCCCATTTGCTCTTCTGAATTAAATATGAAAATTATTTTGACAGAATATTGGCGGGCAACGGCACTAATAGTAATAATTGATAATCTTATTATATTTGAAGAACGTATAAATACTGTTAAATCATGTAAATTCCATCAGTTCAGTGTAATTACATCTGTTGTCTGATCAAGCATATTCACATAATTACGTGATTACCACGGCCCCCCTCAACAGTCGACCGATTGTAACCTCCAGGATGAAACGAGGTCTCCAGGGAACTAAACAGGAGGATGGGGGCGGCACCAGTAGCGGGTCTCTCAAGCGGTCTCGTAAACAGAGGAGGGACGCAGAACTTGACGAAGAAGCGGTCCACTGGGAGTGCCTGCCGCAGGAGGTCCTTCTCCACATATTCCAGTACCTGCCTCTGCTGGATAGAGCGTATGCATCTCAGGTACACATTTGAGCAAATCTAGAGTCAGTACAATCAGTGGAAAGTACTCGGCAGGAAGCAATGGTTTTCCTCTTTTACACAGAACTTTTACAACTGTTGGACTTCTGCACGCAGAGAAAGAAAGATGTGAATGACTGACATACAGTTTAAATGGTAATTTTAAGACAGCTATAGTGGAAATTGTATTTTCATTATCATAATTAATCACCTCTCAGTTGCTGTTTTGTTTTTTTTGTCATTTGCAAAATCATTCCAAAAGCAGTCCAGGGAATTTTGATATGGGGATGTAATGACAACCTAAATGAACTCCATAAATCAATGTTGTCAAACATGCAGCCTGCAGGCCAGAATCAGCTGACCAGAGCGTCCAATCTGGGCCATGGGGACAGAACAATTTCAAATTTTCTACCAAATTAACTGTCGTTGCTGGTTTTGTCCACTGGAGGGTGCTCTGATGACGATTTAAATGACATTCTCAAATCGTCTGCAACTCAGTATTGCACGCCTGATGTTGAAGCCCTTGTGAAGGCTCTAAAATGCAAAGTTTCAGGAGCGAAGTAAGCATGCTTCAGTTCAAATAAGATTGGTTTGCAACCACAATTTAATTTTTTTCACGGACTGCCAAAGCTCGTTAGTATTTTTATACATATATTTTCAAAATAGCCGAATAACCTCTTTCTCAATAGTTACCGCCTTAGTTTGTGTGGTGTGATGAGTTTAGTTAAGATTGTCAAGACTTACCGATGGACATGGAAATTATGTCAATTTCAAATGATTTCGTTATCATTAGTTGCTCTATAAAAGGTGCCACCGTGACTCTTAAGTTGAATTGCACGTGATTCCAAATAGTGTTGAAATTGCACTCTTTTTATTTGAAACAAGATTTTCATCAAGATAATTCATAAATGTGAATATTTTCCAAATGGAATCGTTTGCATCCAAAAATGGGGAAACGTGGACTTAGTTATAGTTTCTTGGGCCGCAAATGCACTGGTCCGGCCCACTTGAGATCAAACTGGGATGAATGTGTTCCCTGAACAAAAACAAATTTGACACCTCTACCCATAAACCATTTTAGAAAACAATAAGAAGGTGAGTTCAGTTTTCAGGTCATTACTTGCACTCCGTCTAGTCAGGATCCATTACTTTCTGTGCACTTCCTCCAAGGAAGGGGTGTGACCTCTGACCCTGGTGGCTAAGGCAACATTGGACACATGGCTAAGTCCAAGTCATTTAATGTCATAACGGATTGAAAATACAGATGATGGTATTGAGAGAGTTGTTGCAATTTCCTGGGTGTTTTAATTCTGGGGTGACTCGGACCAGGCGGGACTGATGCGACTTGTATGAACGCAGGTGTGCCGAGGCTGGAACCACGCTTTTCACATGCCTGAGCTGTGGCGATGCTTTGAGTTTGAGTTGAATCAGCCAGCCAGCTCCTACCTGAAGGCCACACACCCGGACCTCATTAAGCAAATCATCAAAAGGCACGCCGACCACTTGCAGTACGTCAGCTTCAAGGTACGAGCCGTCTGCGAGGGGAGAACAGGTGCCGTTGCGGATGTGCCGTCTCAGCTCAAATCGGAGTCTTTGTCATTCCTCACCCAGGTGGACAGCAGCAGAGAGTCAGCAGAAGCGGCATGCGACATCCTCTCTCAGCTTGTTAATTGCTCTCTGAAAACGCTGGGCCTCATCTCCACGGCTCGGCCCAGCTTCATGGAGCTGCCGAAGGTCAGTAGAATCTTCCGCGGTAGAATTGTCATACCTGTCGTAGTCCGACCAAATGTTTCTTCTGCATCCTGAAAATGAGCCGTCTCAAAATAACACCATAATTAAACAAAAGCAACAATTCGACAAAAGCATAGCATGACGAAAATAATGACATCATCCCCGTTGTCGACATTGCCGGCGTTTGCCGTCTTTCTGAGCACAATCGGCTATGGTGCTTTTGCCATCGAGATATAAAAGTAAACTCACATATTTGTTGTTTTGCGGTATCTGTTCAACAGTCTCACTTCATCTCAGCATTGACGGTGGTTTTTGTCAACTCCAAATCGTTGTCCTCCCTGAAGATTGATGACACGCCTGTGGACGACCCCTCCCTCAAAGTACTCGTGGCCAATAACAGCGACACGCTGAAACTGCTGAAAATGAGCAGTTGTCCTCACGTGTCACCCGCAGGTACTGACGACGAGAACAAATTAGGGAATAAGGCCTCGTGATAAATTATCATTACCATTCGATTGATCTACAACAATTGTTGCTATTGGTGTGCAAAGTTGCTGCAGCAATCCGTCTTGGCGAGATCAATTCTGTCTGGCCCCATGGCTGAACTTTTAACAAATAGAAAATGTGGAGGTCTTCGGGAAGAAGCGAAAAGGAAATGAAGTTTTGATTTGTTTTTTAGCAGTGCATTCCAAAATTTCTTGACTACTTCTGAGTATAACTGCGCAACTTCGGTCTTTTCTTCATGGCCTAAGTCACATTCTCCTCCCTCAGGCATCCTATGTGTGGCCGATCAGTGCCACGGTCTGCGAGAATTGGCTCTCAACTACCATTTGCTGAGCGACGAGCTCCTCATCGCACTTTCCTCAGAGAAGCACGTTCACCTGGAGCACCTGCGCATCGACGTGGTGAGTGAGAATCCGGGCCAGCAGTTCCATACAATCAAGAAGAGCAGCTGGGACGCCATGGTGCGCCACTCCCCGAAATTCAACCTGGTCATGTACTTCTTCCTCTACGAGGATGAGTTTGGCCCCTTCTTCCGTGACGAGCTGCCCGTCACGCATCTGTATTTCGGCCGCTCGGTCAGCAAAGACGTGCTGGGCCGCGTCGGGCTCACCTGCCCTCGCCTGGTGGAGTTGGTGGTGTGCGCCAATGGGCTGCGGCCGCTGGATGAGGAGCTGATCCGCATCGCTCAGCGCTGCACGCAGCTCTCGGCCATCGGCTTGGGAGAGTGCGAAGTGTCTTGCAGCGCCTTTGTGGAGTTTGTCAAGATGTGCGGAGACAGACTGACCCAGTTGTCAATCATGGAAGAAGTGCTTGTTCCAGATCACCGCTACGGGCTGGATGATATCCACTGGGAGGTGTCGAAGCATCTGGGCCGCGTCTGGTTCCCTGACATGATGCCCACCTGGTGAAGTCGTTCGAGGGTGGGGAGCTGCGGCGAGATTTTTTTTTTTTGGAGCGTTATTGCGAAAAATGAAATGTACTCTAGTACATTATCCAACATGGACAAAATTCCATCGATTTAGATTTGGATCTAATCCCGTGAGTTCCAAAAGAAATCTGTTCAAATTGTTCTCACGTCTGCCAGGCTGTTCTTTGTGTATATATATATATTTTTTTCTGTATATTTATATATCTTTAAATTAATTGTTTTTGTTTTGACAAAACCTTCAGCGCTTTGTTCTCTCAGCAACGTACAGATTTGACAGGAGCAGATTTTAGGGATGACATTTTCCGTGGGAATCGACAGAAATGTTTTGGAATGTAGGGGACATTGCGGCAGTGGTATCCTGGATGTCCGTATGTATTTATTGAGTAATAAACCGTACGCCTCTGACATAAAGGAGAACCTTTCAAATTAGAATCACAATCTGCTTTGAATTTCAGCTTTTTACAGACAGTCCACCTTTGACATTGTCTCCAGGAAACGGAGGCACGGGGTGAAAGAATCACTTTTAATGGCCCTCACAGACCGTATAGAGAGATTTGCAGTGAATAACCTTTAAAAGCTCATATTTTTGTCCTTGCGATTAAAGATTTCTTAGTGTGTTTCGGGGTGAACCAGGGCTGGGTTGGGTGGTGAAATAGGTCATGATGCCACAGACAGAATAAAATGGATGGTTGTACCTACTAGGCCAGGGGTGTCAAACTTATTTTTGGCGCGGGCCACGTTTTAGTTACCGTTTCACTTGTAGGGCCGCTATGACTGAAACCATATAAAGAAGTCAAGAATAAATGTTGATTCAACTATTGTTTTAGTTACTATCATGAGGGGTTTGGTAACAAGAAAATCCTTCGAATAGATCTCTTATTTATTACATATGAGAATTTGACATTTTGGTAGACATTTTAGAAAGGATCATGGAGGTTGACATGTTTGAGCTGCTTTCGTGGGCCACATAAAATGATGTGGCGGGCCAGATCTGGCCCCCGGGCCTTGAGTTTGACACCTGTGTACTAGGCAGTTATCCAGTATTTGGCAGTTTTCGTCTCTGAATGAATTCTGGGTATAGCCATTGTTCTTCATCGCCAAGTATTTTAACTCAAGGTTATTTTAAAAGGCACCCACAACGTATTTGATCGCCAACACACTTAGCGATAGACGACACATGACGGACGGTCTCGTAGCTGTGAATTGATGATGCTGTCTATGAGCTCCTGGATTTTTGAAACGTAAAGTACAGTCCTCAGGATTTACAAGTACTCTACTATACATTTGACAAAATGCACACAGTTTATAAGGGCCTCTAGCTGTACTGATGCAACAGCATCATCTCAGGTTGAATCTGAGCAGACCTACATCTATTTTGTACGACTCAAAAGTCCGGTTAGTTGGGATTTGTATTTTTATTTTTTGGTATACCTGCAAGAGGAACCCACTCCAATGCTTGAATAGTCATCACTGTTGATATGTAATTAGAATTCAAAAATGGAAATCATCCCGCGTAAGTGCTCAACTAACGTCTCGGCGGGTGAAACTTTATTGCTGTCTGTCAGTGAGATGTTTTCATTTTTCACCATTTTTCTTGGCTGTCAAGCAGAATGTAACTGGATAAAGTCTTAAAATACACAAAGCACGTCTCTTGTCTGTGGACTCACTGAAGGACATTACCCTTGGACTGTTCAATAAAGGAACCCTTTAAATCATTGTGTTGAAACCTTTCATCCGTTTTTATGCACCGCTTTGCCTGTTCAAGGTTGACGATCAGGCTTTTGTTATTTATTTATTTGCAAATGTTCGCCATCTGCTACATGGGTGCATGACCTTGGCAGTGGGCTTTGTTCTTTTTTGCTGTAGGGTAGAATGTCTTCATAAATGCAGACCGTGTATTGGTGGACACAACCTTTGTTCATCTGTCCGTGTTAGTGCACAATAGCAAAGCTAGAAATAATTTAATTCTCAGGGCATGGGCACTTGTGCAGTTAATTATTTTTTTCAAATATTCATTTATTTGAAAAAAACAAAACCACCACCTAAATGGCGTGGAGCACTTGCGCGTTCAGCGTGAAGTGGCACGCTAACTTCCGGCCGCATTGTGAAAACACATTTCAAGTGACAGAATTCTTCATCGACCCAATTTAGGTGTCTGCGGATAGGCTAATATTGGTCAGAAGTTTGTCAGTCTTGTTTTAAATTGAAAACCAGAAGCTATTTTTCCCTTAAACATATGAATGCAACAGGACTACACAGCTAGATACCCGTATCTTAAAACAGCATGTGTTTTTTTCTGGAATTTAAGATTCTCAGCCACTGTCCCTATTTGCTCCACGGTGTGAAATAAAATGCGCTGTTATTTGATAGGTTGTGCACCTGTCCTTCGTTGCAATAGCACGGCTAAATGTACCTGCATACGTACGAATGGCTCAACAGTTATCCGGGTTGGGTTAAATATCTCAGTAGATTTCAACATAGATGCCTGACAGTAGATCTAATGGAAACCAAAACTAACCAACCAGAGAACACAACCTGTTGTCTATTGACCCGAAACACGGCTGCCGTGTCTTTGAGCAAGGCACCGATAACCTGAACTAATCCCCTGGTGCTTAAGCACTGCTCCAGTGGGTGCCACCGACAGTGTATGTTCACTGTCATGGGTCAAATTTCATGCACACTTGTGGACATGAGCAAAAAAAAAAAAAAAAAAAAAAGAGGAACTCGATCTTCACATATGTTAAAGCGGTTCAATTTGATGCACTTGCATCTTTTTAATCAAAACCGTGTTTTGGATTCAAATCGGAACACATATGTGCAACAGCGACATTTACAGATTTAAATGCGCCAGCAGCTGCAGCGTGAGGTTGAACTTCCAACCCCTGCGAGAGGAGTGGAGTTGTCTGGAGCAGTCTTGATCCAGCGGGCAAGTCTCTTCACGTAGCGCGACGACACGGGCAAGGCTTCGCCCTATCCCAGAAAAAAAAAAAAAAACTGAGCTCAGAGAGAAGAACCAACACTTCAATTGACCAAATACGTTTCTATAATCTTGAAAGTCAAGAGGTGATGCTGGGGGTGGCCGGAGTGACGGGCAGGTGAGCGTCAACATTAACATGAACCGAGTTAACACAGCGAGCATTCACTGCTGCTAATTCAAGAGCTAGCTAGCGCTAGTCATCGGCGGGCCAAAGCTAACGTCATTTTAACAGGACGTGTGCTATATCACAAGTTCTTAATTACGGACTGATTATTAAAAGAAATGTACAGTTTTGCTAAAGATATTTTTTTACTCTTGAGCGAACGTTAGCAAGTTAGCATGCTAATTAGTTTTTTTTTTCAACCCTGCAACTTTTCTTTTTGCAATTAAGTATGTATGTCGGCATGGGCAGTAATAACAGAGTGAAGTGCTGCTAATTCAAGAGCTAGCTAGCGCAAGCGATCGGCGAGCCAAAGCTAACGTCTTTTTAACAGGACGTGTGCTATATCACAAGTTCTTCATTACGGACTGATTATTAAAAGAAATGTACAGTTTTGCTAAAGATATTTTTTTACTCTTGAGCGAACGTTAGCAAGTTAGCATGCTAATTAGTTTTTTTTTTCAACCCTGCAACTTTTCTTTTTGCAATTAAGTATGTATGTCGGCATGGGCAGTAATAACAGAGTGAACACTTACTAATGCGTCCATGCCAAGACAAAGTCTGTAGGTAGGTGTGCGTTTTTGTGTTTAAAGGCGAAGCCACGTCGTCGTGCCTCTCTTTCTCACCGAATTAGAGGATGAGTTTGCGTTGAGTAATTTAGGTTTCCTCCCCTGATTGGCTTCGATGGTAACAAGTGCTGGAAGAAACGTCGTTGTCGATGAAATTGGAGTTGTGTGAAAAACGCAATTATTCATCAAGTGTCGTGTAAGATGACTAATTTATTGCTTTCTCGTGTCATGCAACAGCATCGCCAATGCCCTGGCCAGTGCAGCCTGTGAGCGATGTAAGAGTGGCTTTGCTCCCACTGAGAAGATTGTTAACAGCAATGGAGAATTGTACCATGAGCAGTGCTTCGTGTGTGCCCAGTGTTTCCAGCAGTTTCCGGAAGGACTCTTCTATGAGGTAGTGCTTCATTTCATGTAGGTCTCATTATCAAGCATGACTCACGGTAATAAAAAAAACTGTCGCTGATTACAAGCACTGTTATGATTTGAATATGCTTTTATTCAATGCTTTGCAGTTTGAAGGAAGAAAATACTGCGAGCATGACTTTCAGATGCTCTTTGCTCCCTGCTGTCGCCAAGTAATAAAAAAAACTGTCGCTGATTACAAGCACTCTTATGATTTGAATATGTTTTTATCCAATGGATCTCATTTGCTTTACAGTTTGAAGGCAGAAAATACTGTGAACACGACTTTCAGATGCTCTTTGCTCCCTGCTGTCGCCAATGTGGTGGGTGTTGAACTGTACTACCTTAAGAATGAATATTTTTTTAATCAGTAAAACAAGATGAGATGAAACCAAACCGCAAGAATGTAAATTCCACATTGACTGGACTCTTGATTGAATGTACCAACGTCATGAAATCCACTTTGTAAGTTGAAGTACAAGAGCTAATAATGGGATTGTCTGATTGCAGTACTGTTTTATTTTTTAGTTGATGTCCTGCACTCGTTTAGCTAATGATAAAGTGCAGCAATATGTGGAAATACTGTATATTTAAAAGCTCCGTTGATGTGAGTGATATGTGGTTCACAATCATATGTGCAGTGTGAAAAGAAGAGTGCTCGACATCTTGTGGAATCTCAACAAGGGATGGTTCATACTTGAACTTTCCAATATACAGATAATGGGATTGTCTGATTGCATTATTTAACAATGTGAGTACTGTTTTATTTTTTAGGTGATGTCCCGCACTCGTTTAGCTAATGATAAAGTGCAGCAATATGTGGAAATACTGTATATTTAAAAGCTCCGTTGATGTGAGTGACATGTGGTTCACAATCATATGTGCAGTGTGAAAAGAAGAGTGCTCGACATCTTGTGGAATCTCAACAAGGGATGGTTCATACTTGAACTTTCCAATATACAATTTGAATTCATATCAGCAACTGGCAACACCAGCTATCGATTCGCTCAATGATCCTTTTCCACTGATTGCAGGGGAGTTCTTATCAGCAGGACAGAAAAGAAAAGTGACGTAAATCTATCACTTGTGGTCTCTTTCAGGTGAGTTCATCATTGGTCGTGTTATTAAGGCCATGAATAACAGTTGGCACCCTGACTGCTTCTGCTGTAACATCTGCCAGGCTGTGTTGGCTGACGTGGGCTTTGTCAAAAACGCCGGCAGGTTTGTGTGCATTTTGAAAGCCTGTATACCGAGTCGGTTTATTTGAACCGCAAAACTGTTGGCTTCGACACAGCAATTCGAGCAAATCATTATTCCTCCCCGTGTGTTCTACCTCGCCAAGCGCTCCAAATGTTCCTCCTATTCCAGGCACCTGTGTCGCCCGTGCCATAATCGCGAGAAGGCCCGCGGCCTCGGCAAATACATCTGCCAGAAGTGTCACGCCATCATTGAAGAGCATCCGCTGATCTTTAAGAATGATCCTTACCATCCCGACCACTTCAACTGCAACAACTGTGGGTCAGTACTCTCGCTTCTTGCTTCACTCTACACAGACATCTCCAAGGTACAGTGTCAGTGCGCACAGATGACACTTAACAATACCTGCCTGCCTGCCTGTGCGTGATACGTATGGCTCGTCATGACTGTACCACACTCTCCACAGGAAAGAGCTGACAGCTGAAGCCAGGGAACTGAAAGGCGAACTTTTCTGCCTGCCCTGCCATGACAAGATGGGCGTGCCGATCTGCGGCGCATGCAGGAGACCCATCGAGGGGCGTGTGGTCAATGCAATGGGCAAGCAGTGGCACGTTGAGGTGTGTGTGCAACGCCAGGTTGCTAACTTGGTCATTTTGCATTGACAGTCACACTCCCTATTTGAATTTGACACACTTGAGTAAATATTTTTCTCTGGAGAAGACTTTAGAGAATGTGAATAGTATTTGCTCTTTCACTTATTCACTGGAACCTGTTGTTGTTTTTTTTTTTTTGTGTGCTTGCAGCATTTCGTGTGCGCCAAGTGTGAGAAGCCATTCCTTGGCCACCGCCATTATGAGAGAAAGGGCTTGGCTTACTGCGAGACGCATTATAACCAGGTCAGAAGAAAAGCGCCCAGCTAAAATGCTCGCGTTTCTCCAAATATAATCTCTAAATATCTAATTTTGATGCGTTTATTTTTAAGCTGTTCGGCGATGTGTGTTACCACTGCAACCGTGTGATTGAGGGCGATGGTAAGTATTGATCTAGAAATTCTCAACTGAACTCAACTGTATTTCTAGAGCACTTAAAAACAACCACTGCTGGATACAAAGTGCTGTGCATGGAGCAAATATCACATATATGAATGAATGAATGAATGAATGAATCCTTTATTGTCATTGCACACTTGTTACGAGATATATACAACAATAAAGCAATAAATTTATAACGAAGACAGTAGAAAGCACAAAGACAATAAAACTAAGATCAAGTCTGACTCATGCTGAGTCAAAAGCCAAAGAACACAAGAGAGTTTTGAGATGAGTTTTAAAGATGAGCAGCGAGGAGGCTTGCCGAATGTTCACTGGGAGGTCACTCCAAAGAGAAAGACCAGCAAGGGAAATGTCTCGATCCCCCATGAGCCTCCGCTTAGTTCTTGGTACCTCAAATAATGTCTGGTCCGCAGACCTGAGGCACCGGGCAGGTGTGTAGGGGGGGGCTCAGACAGGTAAGATTTGAAAACAAATAATAGGATCTTAAAAAAAAACTCTTAGAATGTATAGCGAGCCAGTGAAGGGACGCCAGAGTAGGAGTTATGTGCTCCCTCCTATGAGTTCTGTACCTGTTATCAGGTGAGCAGCAGCATTTTGGACCAACTGGAGACCCCTAATGGAGGACTGCCTAACTCCAAAGTAAAGTGCATTACAGTAATCCAGAAATCTTATCAGTAAATAAAGCTCATTAACCCTTTCGAGGGCAGCGGTTACTACAGTGGACAGCTTATCATGTTATCAGGCTACAGGTTAGCATTATTGGTGCATGAAAGGGTTAAAATGTCAGTGACCATCGCATCTATTAAAATTGAGTAGTTCTTATCGGTCACGATATTACAAATGCCTGGACAGTAAAAATGAGCTGCAGTATTTCTTCTCCCCCCTTAGTGGTGTCTGCTCTCAACAAGGCCTGGTGCGTCAGCTGTTTCTCCTGCTCCACTTGCAACACAAAGCTCACCCTCAAGTAAGTGATTGCGCTCCCCACCAACTTGACGAGCAGCCGACTAACCTAACAATACTTCCCTCATGTCGTCATACATTGTCGTCTTCTCATTTGTCCCTCCGGGTTTCCTCTCTCACTCTCTACATGCTTCACGTGGTGTCTGTTTTGTTCATCCCAGAGATAAGTTTGTTGAAATTGACCTGAAGCCCGCGTGCAAGCGTTGCTATGAGTGTTTGCCTGAGGAGTTGAAACGCCGCCTGGCCCGCCGTGAGCGCGGCGCCAAAGAGCGCAAGAAAAAGCCCGCTGCTTCTCAGTAGAATTCTTTTATAAGTCTCCATCGCTTCTGCCGGCTGCTGCGGTTTCTGCCTTTCTTTTCCTCTGTGGCATGAAGATGCATGACACTTTATGGTAGGCCATGTACATCTTTTCGCAATGTTCACGCCAGTTTCCATCACTTTTTCCGGTGAAAGCCCACTGTGAGTTGCGGGAAACAGCAACCGAGCCCTGCAGTGAAAAGTCTCAACAAAATAATTGAATGCAGTTTCAGTAGTTCAATTATTCAACACAAACAAAAGCGCCTTCACATGCGGCTCATCAATTGCATTCGCTAGAGTGCTTAGCTTAATATTAGTCAATTGAATACATTTGGAATCTTAACCTGCTGTTCCTTCCTATTTTGCAGGAACAAGTTTGTTGAGTTTGACATGAAGCCTGTTTGTAAAAAGTGCTATGAGAAGTTTCCCCTTGAGCTGAAGAAAAGGCTGAAGAAGCTGGCTGAGTCTTTAGCACGCAAGTAGGCTGAAGTTGGCCGAACAATAAAAAAACAAAACAAAAAAAAGATTTTCACCCTGGGTTATTAAAATGTTTGTTTTCCCTTTCGAAAATATATCTACATATGTAAAAAAAACCAATACAGTATAATACTGCCCCAAAGTGACCTGAGCTGTTATATTCTCAATAAAAGTGGCATCCATTTTCTTCTGACCACCAAACAAGTTAATTCATATGTTTACTATTTACTTAATTATTGTTTAATATTTCTTGAGTTGTATTCAGCATGTGTCCTAATCTGTAACTTTAAATGTGCCTTGCAGTAACACTTCGAATTTGTGTGTATAACATGGATTATTCTCAACTGGCCAATTCTGATCACTGGTGCTTTGTTGCTTTCACATGCCCAAATGAGTAAAAAGAGCAAACAGTGTATTGAAGGTACCACACATTTTTGTCACGAATATGTCAAATAAACTCCCAAAGAACTGTTACTGGAGTAATGTTCTTGTAAATGCCAGCTAGTGGGAAATAAACGATTTTAAGGAACCTTGGTGGTGTTTCTTTTCTTTTTTTTAATGCTTCATTTATTTGATGCATACCATTTCAGGTGCAAAACCTTTTTTTCCGCTCAAGAGAGAACCTTAGGCACCACTCATTAGGCGTGTGCAGAAAAATCGATTCACTCAGTTATCGGGATTTGAATTGTCAAGATTCAATCAATCGACGTTCAGAATCGATTTTCATGATTTTTCAAAAAGCAAAGGTGAAGCTACCACTTTCCTCCAGCAGATGGCAGCGCTGAGCTAATTTGTTGCGGTGACTCAGCGGACTGAGGCATTCAGCAGGGTCAGACTACGTCATCAGAATGAGCCGGTGCTAAAGTGTTTCGGAATGAGAAACGTGACAACGAAACTTAATGTGTCAGCATCATTTATTCAGGGTCCGATTTTCCATTTGCCGACCTGTGTCGTACAGTATCAGTTGATAGATTCTGCTTGCTTTGAAAATGTACACACTGCATTTACATTTTACCGCACAAGCACACACTGCTCATATTTGCTTTTCTCTTCATCAGTCAGTGCACACCTTGTGCTATTCAGTCCATAAAATTCCCGTCGCAGTTCATATCAAATTATAAGCCACACACGGCAGGTATTTTTGCCTCAATGATTGAACACTGACAAACCAAAACCTTTCAACACATTTGTTCTGCTCACCAATGTGGAGAGGAAGCATTTCACGGGTTTTTGGTATCAAGTTGAGCACAAAGTCTTTGTCATGATATGAAAACAAGAAACGAGGTATCAAAATCAACTTGGTAGCATAATCGCAATTCTTACCACCATGCTGCATGCACGCACACACACACACACACACACACACACACACACACACACACACACACACACACACACACACACACACACAACATAATTTATTAGATAAATGTTGAGCAATATTTTAGGGGAGTGCTGGATTCCTAGCTATTAGCCAAGTGCGGATTTGACGAGGAATGAGGAGAACCATGTAGGTGAAGTCTCGACAGGTGGCTCTGAGGGGGATGCACGTTCTTGTATTGTGGTTGAAGATGGAGTGGAAAACCCAAGAAGCGGAGCCGGAAAGTTGTCCATTCTCCAAAGGTCATGTCGAGGAGTTTTTTAATATCATCGGGGTCACCAAATACCAGAGATGAGCCAGTGATGTGATTGCTTTTTACAATCTCAGCATACTTTCTGGGATATTTCATATATTCCAGCTGGGGCAGGAGAGACACATGGAGCATTAGAGAAAGCAAAAGTAATTGCACTTAAAGACTCCGTTTTCCTCCCACATTCTAAAAAACATGTAATGCGAAGTGAAGAGAAGACTAAATTACTCATAGGTTTGAGAAACTCAAATCACTGTACAACCTACCATGTATTTACCACAGAAAAAAAAAGACATCAGGAGCCACAAAACCCTTTTGGCATCAAACTGATTATCATTTTTTAAAAATGCAGCATATCTGTATGTATCAAAAAACCTTAATGTGTTGCATTTATGAAATAAGTAACCTGCTACAGGGACCGCAAAATGTTACTTCTGTATGTTACAAGAAGACGCTTGGTTGAAGCTTACTTTGAAACAAAATAGTCAATGTCTCCGTGAGTCGTCCTCCGGTTCACAAAATTGAAGCTCAACTCCACTTAGCCACTGCTGCGAAGCAAATATGCCGTCTTCTGCTGCATCAGCACTTTTTTTGCCAGGAGCGTGCAGTCAGCTGTCAACTTAAATGGAAAAGGACTATCCATGTAGGAATGTAGAATATACTGTATAGTGGAAAAATAATAGCCAATTATAGTTTTTATTTTATCTTTGTTATTGTGATCTGATGATTATCTCTTTTTTTTTTCTTTTTTTTTTGCTCCTGAATCTCAGGATGCAGAGTCTGCATGCCAAGGCTGTCGAGCTCGCCTGCATTTTCATTGTAAAATGTCATCATCTGAACATCCCTTTATTTTCAAATCCGCTTCTCCTCAGGAGGGTCGCGGGGCATGCTGGATTCTATCCCAGCTGTCTTCAGGGAGTTGGTGGGGGAAACCTCAACTGGTTCCCAGCCAATCGCAGAGCACACATATACAAACGACCATTCGCGCTGACAATCACACCGCGGGACTATTTCGAGTGTTCCATTAACCTACCACGCATGTTTTTAGAATGTGGGAGGAAACCGGAGTACCCGGAGAAAACCTGCGCAGTCACAGGGACAAAACTTGCAAACTCTACACGGAAAGGCCGGAGATGGAAACAAACCCTGCAACTCTGCAATGTGAGGCGGACACGCAGACCAGTTGTCCACCGTGCCTCCCTCTCATCTCAGCAAATTTTTGCTCCTTTTTTTTCAGTCCAAGTAGAACGTAGCATGAAACATTGTTTTAAACACCTCACAAACGTTCCTATTCTTGAATTCATCCACAAATAGCTTAATAAATCGCACATTTGCACTTAAATTTTGAGCATCAAAGAAAAAAATAACTGGATTTCAACGGTGTGTGTGTGTATGTGTGTGTGTGTGTGTGTGTGGTTGGCAACTTTACCTTTATATGAACACTGAACAGATCAGGACAAAAATATGTATTTTGGTCCAGATCAGAGTGCTGAAATACAAATGTGATGGCAGCCTTCAGGCTCGCCACTTAAATATTTCTTACCTCTTTACAAATATCTTCTGAATCCATATTGATGATAGCTGCGATTGGCAAAGGAGCAAAGGTCCTCACCCAACCGGAATCTTTCAGCCTGGATGTTCCTCGAATCACAGACAACTCTCTCTTCATCGAGGGATTGAGGTCCACCGTGACCTGGCTGAGCGCCTTCAGATCCTTCATCGTGAAGTGGAAGTCGACCTTGAGAAATCTCTCAAACATCTCCGGGTCTCCATCCTGGTCGAGTAAGTCTTCAATCTGAGAGCGCATCACGTAAAGCTCCGCCCTGGACTCGCTGAAAACCTTCCACAAGCTCTCGGAATCGGGGCTTTCGGCCTCCATGTTCTGATCGATTTCATTTCTCTGCTGAGCGTCTTCGGCGCACTGGATGATCCAACTGAGGCGACAGGGCCAGCGATTGGCCAGGACCACCCAGGCGGCGATGAGGTCGGGTTGAGGGAGCTCGGCCCTTAAAGCCCTCGTGATGATCACCGTCACTCGAATAGAGTTGATCACCCTCCTCATGGACATGGAGTCGTCTAAGATGTACTCCTTTAACTTCCTTTCATTGGCGTCAAGCGTCCTCTTGACCCAATTTTCGACTTCCGCCTCTTTTATATCTATCTCACTTTTACCCATCAGTGGAATTGCTTCATTTGTCTCGAATAGGACAACCGAAGATGCATTTGCTAAAGAGTTCCATTCAAAACCTCCAGTTTGGCGGTTGTCTTCGTTCACGCTCCTGTCCTCGAGATTTTTCGAACCGTCGGCCAAGCTGTGAAATAAACGGAGCTTTGAATCGTCACTGAGGGGCGGGACGGTGAAGGCCAGAGTGACAATTCGCCGCAACAGCGCATACGCCCGTTCTTCTTTGCAAAAGCAGCCATCTGCAAAGTTGACCTTCTGTACGATAATATCCGGGTCTACGGCCAGAATCGAAATGAACGGACTGTCCTCGTCTGACAGCAGGATGTTGATCGCATCCAAAACGGAGACAATTTTGGGCGGGGCGCAGCGGTCTAAATTGGTGATCCTTAAGACCACTCTGATTCTTCTCCTCTCAAACACCTCCATGAACTCGACAAAGCGAGAGAGGAGCCACATCTCTTTCCGGACTTGATTCATGAAGCCCAGCTTGCTGCTGACCCGCTCGGTGTCCATGCCTCTCTTGATGTTGCGCTCCTGGTTGAAAAGGAGATTCTTGATCATCAGGAAGGTAAACTTCAGGACGTTGGCGGCCGGAACGCCAAACGAAGCGATGATCAGGCCTTCCCACACGCTAACGTGGCTTGTCGTTCCATTCGCCTTGGCGGTCGGTTCCCCTACGTGTTTTAGAAGTCCAGATGACAAAAGGATGACGAATACCAAGTATACCAACAGACCGAAAAGGATGAGAACAAACAGAGGGCAGCAACACATCTTCTTGAACCTCCAGTTATGTGGACCAGCCACCACTATCTGAGGAGAGGAATAAAACAAATAGAGCAAATGATTAATGGGTACTATGCATCAGGGGCAGTTGGTCAATAGAGGGCGCTAGGGTGCGAAGGTGTCGCCATACTGCCGATGTGATTGGATTGGATTGGATACAACTTTATTGTCAAATGATGTGTGTGTATGTGTTGTATTGTTTAAATCAGTGGTGCCCAACCCGAGGGCCGCGGACCGGTACCGGTCCGTGGGTCATTAGGTACCGGGCCACACAGAAAGAATAAAGAATTTACATTACTTTCGTTTGATTTATTTTGGAATCGGAAAGATATTTTATTTTGAAAATGAACCGGATTCTCTGTTACATCGGTCGATAGTACGTCACTCTTGACGCGCTTCTCGGTCACGTGATAGGTTACTGCTAAAATGAAACCCAGGAGCTAGCAAAATGAGCAAAAAACAAACGTCTTTGGAAAGTTTTTTGGGAAGTGGAAAAGGCCCAGTTAGGAGACAGAAGAGGAGGCTACGACTTCCAAGAAAAAGAAAGCTACATTTAATAAACAGTATCAGGGTTTCCGACTTAAAATACAGATTTATCTCAACGGGAGACTCTACATTCTATGTGGTGATGGTGAGTCGTATTTTTCCATGCACTTTGTATTTGCGGTGGATCTTATTTTGAAGGCACGTTTAAATGTTACCATAGCGACCAGAGAGTGTTGCGGCCAGAGAGGACGTTCCTCGTGTCATGATTCATGTTTATTATTATCTTTCAAAAATACCACCGTTTTCATGCAGGTCATATCCTATTATTTTGTTGTATTTATGCGTCACACCATCAAGGCTGGTCCCTGAAAATGTTGTCTGACATTAAACCGGTCCATGGGGGAAAAAACGGTTGGGGACCGCTGGTTTATACGCAAGGCTTTGGAATCTCGATCATTAACAGAGAAAAAAAGGGCGTCAAGTCACAAACCTTCTTTTTGATTTCATCCTCAACATGATATTGGGCCACCCGGTACAATGCCAGCTGTAATGTCCCAAAATTGATTTGCACTGCTTGAAAGAGTCGTATGGCAAGACCGGCCCACAGCAGGTCACTGCCCGCAAAGTGCCAGGCACTGAAGTTGACAAAAATGAAGCGGACGTTGTGATGGTCCTGATTCTCTTTGGTCCAAATGGGCTTGTGGAACAGCATTCGCCAAATGAGCTCGAACATGCCACAGAGTGAAGGTTGAACTGGGCGAGGCCGGGATTTTCCTTTGTAGTTCTCTTCGATCCTCAAAGCTTCCTGCGACATGTACACTGAAGCAACAAAAACAGAGGTGGTTAAAAAAACAAAAAAAGAAAAAACAAACAAAAAAAACTTCTGGGTATAAATACACCGGCACAAACCCAAACAGCCATCTCTAAACGTTAATTCCAAAAATGTAAAACGTAAATATTCTCAGAATAAAATGATTTGCAAATCCTTTTCAACCTATGTTCAATGAGAACACGACAAATGGAGTACATTTAATGTACAAACTGAACAACGACGTACCAAAAAATCTTTTTGCTGTGTGACATCACTTTTTCTTTTATGAACGTTCAAAGAAGCTTTGGAAGATTCGACTGCAGATTGGGGTTGCCACGGTGACGCAAATGGCATCGTTTTAGCCGACGAATACGAGGGACAGCTTGCATATTTGGATCCATTATTCAAAAGATCGTGATCGCTCTCTCGCTCTCATTTGGTGCTGTTGTCACTTGCTATTCCTCATTCTCATCGAGAGAGAATATCCGTCTCTGCGGCTTTATGTCCACCCCTCCTTACATTCATTCATCAATCTATTTGTTGAACCCGTTGCTATGAATTATTATTTGGTGGGGACAAAATGATGCAGATTTCGGGCCAAACTCTGTTATTTCTTGCTCATTTATTCTCGGGTCTGCTGTTGATTGCCGTTTCTGCAGATGATGACAAATGAGGCTTTTTTATCTGTACCCCTACGAACAGGCTGAGAGACAAAAAAATAAGGAACCAAAAGAAAAACATGCTTGGGAAAAAAAAACCCCCGAATAAACATGATGCGCCGCAAAGTTTTCAACAAAGGTTGAAACAACATCACGTTCACTGTAGTTTTTAGCAAACTATCTCTGTCATCAATCATAACATCATGCGGCTAGGGCGATGTTCTTAAACGTCCATTGAAGATTTTCATCTGAGCTGGTCGGTAAAAAAAATGGAAGCCTTTTTGTCACCGAGTTGATGGCAGACATTAGTGTTCAATGATTATCTGCCACGACGAGGCTTGTGTTTGCGTGTGCCCGCGCACAAATGGAACTTCCTGGTGCAGGTTGTAAATTCACTTCAAAGATAAAACTCTCCAGCAACATCCTGTCATAAAGGTTTCCTGATGTGTTGCCAGACCCAATTTGCCGGCGGGGTTAAACGGACAATAACAATCCCAAGTATGGCCAGTATTCAACCCTTTCAGGGACAGCGGTTACCGCAGTGGACAGCTTCTCATGTTATCAGGTTGCAGGGTACGTGAAAGGGTTAATAACAACAGGACGACTGCCATTTATTGACCTGAAACGCTGACTCGGAGTCAACCGTTTTCCAGCTCGCCACGAGGGATTACCTACCTTCCATTTTCCCAAGGATTCTTCTAATTCGACTCTGACATGACGAGTAGAGTCCGACAGTTGCGGGGGATGAAACTTTGGTCAAGGTCTTGGAAAGGGCGTATGCAAAAACGTCATCTAGAAAGAGATGCAAACAAACGAACCCGAAAGTCAAACCGAATCATTTGGACTTCGGCCACACGTCAATCCGTGAATATTCTACCTTTGGTGGGGGAGAGCATGATTACCGATGCTTTTGTACAATATCTCCAAAAGTTTTGTTTGACCTACGGAATAGAAGCAGAAACAATTTCACCGCAAATCATCAAGGTGTGTTTGAGCCTGAGGTGCGTGCGTGCCCACTCTCCCTTTTGTGTGCAAACATCAACCTGTCCAACGTACCTTCTCGTGATCAGAATGCAAGAAGGATTAGTCCCACTTGAAAATCATTTGTCAGTCCAGACAGTCTTGCTTACTTTTGCATCATCATATTGTGCAGACGGCGTTTACTCCTGTCAAAAAAAAAAAGAAAAAAAGTTAAAAAATCATTTTGGGAATGAAGGATGGGATTTACACGTGCTGAATAGAAAGAAAAAAAATGTTGCTGCTGGCTCCTTTGAATCTGAAACAAACTCTGAATTCACCCGACAGGGTCTTGGAGCTCTTTTGAATGAGACGTCAACATTTGTGCACTGGCGTTGTTCGCTTGATACTACTTCACGCCGTTCCTTCGTTGTACGTGCCCAGAACTGCTTTCCAAGGTCAATGAGTTATTTGCCTTGCAGAAACCACTCCCTCTCACTCACCAAAACATGCGGTTTGACGCAATGAAATATGCCCATGATTGACACCAAACAGATTTCTACCCTGCAGTCACACGCTTTGTTTCTTTTAACTGGTTTCAGAAAGTTTTGTTTTGTTTTGTTTTTTCTGTGCAGGCATGCTCAAAATCTTACCTTGAAATTTATTTTCACTCTTGCAAATCATGCAGTGACGAATACCGGTATGCAACCGTGAACCTGACCTGGACTTCAGAGCTTTGCAACAACACTGATATGACAGAGTGTAAGTGTGAGAAAGAAAAAAGAAAAAAAAAAACTCCACCTGATCAGGAAGTAGTACCGGTGTGTTGGCCCGACACTTTCCCCGGAAGTGAGATCACAGACAAATTGGAATTTGAGCCGCAGTTCCTCTTCTCATGTCGGTTTAAACAACCGCGATTGAAAAAAACGGTGTTTCCTGAGACTAATGCAGAATAGAAACGTCCCACTTCCTTCCGTGGCTTGTGGCATCAACCTTTTTAAGTCTTGTGGGGGAAATAAAAATAAATAAATAAATAAATAAATGAGCGATTTTCTGTCAGGGCCCAAGGCCGGGATGATTGGTAATGTGAATTGCTTCAACTGAGCCCCCCGGGTTCAAAGAGGCTGGATTCTCCGCCGTGGCCTGAAGTGACATGCAGAGAGCATCTCGGACGCCAAAGCGTAATAAGCCTTTTTAGCCCACAGCGTGATTTGTCATGACATAACTGGTTAGTCAAGCTTTTAAAAACAAGCTGGATGCATAATTTCCCTTGGCACCATAACTGAGGGTTTTTTTTTTTCATTAGCTCTCTGAGACCATCTGCTGTCACTTAATACCTCACATCTCAACTTCTGCCCATGCATTTTGCTTGTGGAGAGTTGCATTGAATCCACCATATATATACACACACACATCTAAAAATGACCATGTTTATACACTCACGCACACACTCACACTGCACGTGTTGTTGTCGGTGTCACATGATGACCATGTTCACTTTCACGTTCATTTTTAGCACTCCTTCTGAAAAGAAGCCTAATCAGTGTAATGTCTGATTAATATTTAAAGTACCTGCCTCCAGGGTGACTAATCGCGGTCCAACCGCCAGTATTGATTGCTGGAGTACGTTAATTAACTTGATTATCATACAGAGCGAAGTTACGCGTGCGTGTGCTTGACACGATGGACAAGCACACACAAGGCCTCACTTAAAACTCGCATTTCAGGACAAAGAGGTCAAGATGAATACGGTCGCATGACACACTCGCTGGCCACAATATTAGGGACACCTACACGTGATCCACTGAGACCCGTATGAGGAGAAGCAGATTAGAAAATGGATGGATAGTTGTTCAAGTCGTTATCTTTCATTTAATCGGCTGTATCGTGAGCGCGAACCAGAAATTCACCGCGACCGGGATTCGATTGTTTGTGTCACGTCTCTGCTGCGTGTGGTGTGTTCAGAAGTGTACAGACACTTCGTAAGCGAGAGTGAATTTTCTTTTTCTCTTTTATCGTATGTGTATTTTGGCAAAAATGGATTCCTGAGATTTTCAAAAAAATCATTTCTATTATTGTACTATCATTTCTATTTTGTTTTCTGACAACTTGAGTGTCAGGGATGTTTTGAAGCGACAGCGACGTGGAGCTTCAAATTGCCACACTCACTGGTGGCCCGTCACATAACTACCGATACATCTGCCACATCTGATCTGATACATGTTGTGTCTGGTCGATAAATGTAATATTTATTGCAATATTTTGGGAGTGGACAAATTGAGGCTTCGGGGAAATGTATGGGAACTTTGTCATCATTTTCTTGAGCTTGCAATGCCCTGACTCACCAAGGGAGGGCCCCGACGTATCATGCATGAAAACGGGACAATGCCTTTTGATAGTCTTCGCTCATCTCGCCGCGCTGTTTGATATGGAAGAGCAGCTCTGACATTGTAGGTGGCATTTATTCCAAGTGGGGTGTGGTCCAGCTTTTAGGACGTCAAACATATATGTTGGATGAGATGGTTCTGCGCAAGAAATTACGACAGCTTGGAGGACAAACCTCCACACATCGGTACATGCAAATGAGCGCGTGCGCGCACGCACGCACACACACGCACACGCACACACAAAAGACCAATAACATTCCTCTACCTTTATTCCCTTTCCATTGTTCCTCAGGGAGAACAAGCTTGACTATTGACATGGAGCGTGACATCGGCTTGGAAGCGGCCCGACTTGCGCAGCGGCCTAATTGGCCTCGAGACCTCTTGTTGGCGTGATCTATTGATTACAGCTTGGAGGACAAACCTCCACACATCGGTGCATGCAAATGAGCGCGTGCGCGCACGCACGTACACACACGCACACGCACACACAAAAGACCAATAACATTCCTCTACCTTTATTCCCTTTCCATTGTTCCTCAGGGAGAACAAGCTTGACTATTGACATGGAGCGTGACATCGGCTTGGAAGCGGCCCGACTTGCGCAGCGGCCTAATTGGCCTCGAGACCTCTTGTTGGCGTGATCTATTGATCCGCATCGTCAAAGGGAGAAGGCGGCGAATGTGAGAAGGCGATATGTACCAAAAGGAAGCAATGTGCAGATCCCGGGAATGATGTTTCCAAGCTTTGCCATTCCCCCCCACCCAGCACAGCAGAGATGGCGAGGCGTTCATCTTGAGGTGCAGAGGTCCGGAAATGTGCAAAAAGTTGATTCACATTCCGTGATTGTCTTTGATGGTTACCACGGGGACAGTGGCGGCAAAAAAAATGGGTTTTCTGAAAGCTGTGACCCCGAGGATCTATAGACATTGCGTTAAAAAATCCCACTCCAGATAGCAAGATGAAAAGTCCTTCACTCTCACAAAATCCTCTTTTTATTTGATGCGTACGCTGCAAATCTTGGGGGGAAGAAAAATACGATGAGATCTCAACCAAAAGAGGCCTTCAGGGCCAGAGGTCTGAGCAATGGAACGAAAGCCGATCTTGTATCCATCAGCACAAACAGCCGAGCCATGATTATTTTTCATCAAGCATCTCCCTATTCACATTCAGATGCAGGACGACATCGTTCTGTTCTTATCTTTTTTCAATTTGGAACACTCCTCATCCTTGCCTTTCTTTAGCAGTAGTTTTTTTCTTTTTTTCTCGACGGACAGTATGTGTTTCGTAGGTTTCCAAACAGTGGTGGGCAACGCTGGTCCTCGAGGGCCGCTACGCTGCATGTTTGGATGTTTCCTCTCATCCAGCTCACCTGTTCCAAGCGACGAGGATCGCTGATGGATGAGCTGCTCATTTGACTCAAGTGTGTTGTTGGAGGGAGACATCGAACGCATGCTGGATTGCGGCCCTCGAGGACCGGCGTTTCCCAGCCCTTGGCAGCCCTGTTGGCCTGAAACTTCGCGCACTCGATTTTAGCCATTTTTCAGCATGCTTCCCGTCTCACTACCGACTGCTCATAAGTTTTGTTACGCCCGATTGCATATTATTTTGTTGCATTTTAGTTCGCACCATGACAGCAACTGCATGAATTTCAAAATCGCATCCGGCATCCACGGCAATCACGGCATGTCACGTTTGCCATCGTGTCCCCTTTCGTTGTCTCATGTCCAGCCCTGTTTTGTCCATGGTGGACTGAAGCGCGAATTCCGTGGCTGTTTGGAGAACATCACGTAAACTTAGCACAACTGCTTCCTAATACGCATTTTCCGCAATGATCACTTCGAAGAACAAAGAAATCACTTGTATTGACTCTTCATTAGGGAATCCCCACCAGATGCAGGTGCAGATTTAATTTTCAGGGCATTGATTCAGGGTGGCCCAGTGGTCCAGTGGTTAGCGCATCGACCTCACAGTACAGAGGTACTGGGTTCAATTTCAGCTCCGGCCTCCCTGTGTGGAGTTTGCATGTTCTCCTCGGGCCTGTGTGGGTTTTCTCCGGGTACTCTGCTTTCCTCCCACATTCCAAAAATATGCATGGCAGGCTGATTGAACACTCTGAATTGTCTCTGGGTGTGAGCGTGAGCGTGGATGGTTGTTCGTCTCTGTGTGCCCTGCGATTGGCTGGGACCCGGTTCAGGGGGGTTCTGAGGCGCCGCTGAGTTTGAACTGAAAGCTCAGCGTGACTGATCAGTAGAATGGTGAAATAAACCAACACGACAAACTACAAGAACGGTGCATGAATAAGTTAACAACGGTCAGGCTCCCCCGTTGTACAGTGGTTATCGCGTTTTCCTCAAAGTGCAGAGATATAGGGTTCGATTCCGGCTCAGGCCTTCCTGTGTGGAGTTTGCATGTTCTCCCCGGGCCTGCGTGGCTTTTCTCCGGGTGCTCTGGTTTCCTCCCACATTCCAAAAACTTGCATGGCAGGTGAATTGAACACTCTGAATTGTCTCTGGGTGTGAGTGTGAGCATGGATGGTTGTTCGTCTCTGTGTGCCCTGCGATTGGCTGGCACCCGGTTCAGGGTGTCCCCTGCCTACTACCTGATGAATGCTGGAATAGGCTTCCAGCACCCCCCACGGCCCTTGTGAGGATAAGCGGATCGGAAAATGGATGGATGGATGGATGGATGGATGGCATTGATTCACTTGCCAAGTGTATGTATTTAAATCAAATAGTTTCACGAGCGTTATCATGTTACTTGTCAAGTCATTTCTGTGTGTGTGTGTATGTTTATTTCTACCCGTTTTTAATTTTCCCCTTGTTAGA